CCGTGCGAAGAAGCGTCACCTGCCGCCGCCCCGGCTGTGCGCCGCCTCGCACCGCCTCACCAACCTCGCCTCCATCACGCTCGCTAAATGCGACTTCCTCTGCACAGTATGTACACATCTATACTAATATTTATGTTTAAACTGTTAGAACTGAGCGTCTGTAGAGGTCTTAAAAAGATGAAAAGAGTAAACAAAGAAATAATACAGAATAGAGAAACGAAAAGAGATTTCAAACATTTATTAGACGAAGTAAAAATTTCTGATGGTAACTTTTTAATAATTATATTTGGCTTATCTGCAGGTATTAAGTGAATTCAGCGAGCATCATGAACTAGCGTTCCGCGTGGGTCTGTACGCGCTGGAGATGTCGCGGCCGCCCGCCAGCACCAAGTCGTTGGAAGTGAAGCTGAGCAACCAGGAGACGGAGCTGGTGGCGTTGCTGAGGAAGCTGCCCATCGGCAAACCGCAGCTCGCCCTCGCGCGGGAGAAGGCTGAACAACTGAGAGATGGCGTTTTAAGGTTTTATTCACTTTATTTCATTACTAGCTGTTCCTTTGTGACTTAATCCGCATAAAATTATGAACATTTTATTTTATGGTTTACATGTTTTAAATTATCAATTGCAAATGTCAAAATGACATGACATGATGACAAACCATGGCAACCTTGCTTCCTTAATGTTGGCAGATTATAATTTATGGTCACTTTCCCCCATGAAGGTGTTTTTAATTTATTTATCCGCCAAGTTTAAAAACGTAAAAATATATAGCCAAAAGCGTGTCGTAAGTGTAGGGCTTTTTATTAAAGAAAGAATTATTAAAAAATATGCTGTGATTGCTGACATCTCACGTAACAAAGTAGTTTACGCTTTATTATATTAGTATAAATTGCAAAAATATAAATAGAGATAGTATGTTAATAGTGTTCTTTATTTCAGAAACCGTGGTACATTACTGCCCATCGCACTGGCCTCTTTCTTGTTCGAAGCTTTGGTAGCGTCTGTAAATGATAAAGAAATAAAACATACAGTGGTAAGTATTGTTCTAAAAAAGTTACCTGTCTAAATTTTAGTCTTATGTAACAGTGTATGTTGGATATTTAAGGGTATGTAGACTAGTGAGTCTAATGGAAAGTACGAGAAATTGGGTGAATAAACTCAAGTTTGCTATGGTTTTTGACATTGTACATTAAGTATTATGTATAATATGTAGTTCCGCGAGACTTCGTTCGCATGGAAAAAATAGTCTAAAATGTAGCCTTTGTTACTCAGTGATAATTTAGCTTTTAGACTTTATGGTGAAAGACTTTTTGAAGTCTTCCCAGTGCTTTTGGAGTTATTTCAATACATACAAAAGTACAAAACTTTCATATTACTAGTAATGGTTAGCTTTAATACTAATTTCTATCAGTGTGGCTTCCTTGTACAAACATGGTAAATTGTTTAAGGAACGTTTGCCGTCGGACGAAATATTGGGTTTCGAGGCGGCCGTGGCTGCTTTGGGGCTGAAGGCGAACGTGTCGGAGGCGGAGCACCCCCTGCTGTGC